ATATATATATAACTTATAGAATATATATATATATAGAATATAGAATATATATATATAACTTATAGAATATATATATATATATAGAATATAGAATATATATATATATATACAACTTATAGAACATATATATATAGAATATATATATATAACTTATAGAATATATTTTACTTAAATATCTAAGGTGATTTATTTTACAACGTGCAAGAGCTAACGTATTATTTTGTCTCAGACTTCGGTTAATCATTTACAATTTTTCCAATGATTGAAAATTTCTACGTTTAAGGAACTCATTTAATGTCTATGTATTTTTTTTTCAAAACAGGGGTCTATTTTAACGCGGTAACTTCATAATTTACGTCTCTTACTCTTACCAACTGAGTGCTTACGTTTTAGAAGAATTAGTTAGCAAAGTCAAGTTTTGTCCACTTTAAAATGGAGTTTATCCAAAAATCATTACCAGCGAATGAACATGGAACCTCAATAGTATATTACAATATATAACTAGTTGGTTCGTCTACGGCACAATAGAGATACTCATAGACGTTATATGTATATACGTAAATTACGTACGGTACGTGTCATTCATTTATGTACAAATCATCCAAAACATAGCACGGGGGTGTTATAGGCAACAGACCTCACAGGATCTTGTAAAGATAACACGCTTTCCTGGCGTTGAAAATTTGCATAATTAACTTAGTTTACAAAATGATAAGATAATAAGTATGACACGCATAGACGCACACATTATGCCTTATATATATACCGTATTATATACATAGCGACATGACAGACATATCCTCCCCCCTGTTTCCCAGTTGAATTACGCAGGAAATAAAAATAGCAAAACGTGGGCGGTGTGATTGGTGGTCAGGCTACCTAAACGTTACAACTGCTTATCAGACGAAGTGTCAGAGCACGTGGGTTTCAGCGAGTATCAAGCTGACGTTAGCTAGGAGCCAAGAAGTTGATTTTTTTCTTGGTTCACTTTATAAAAATAGAGATAATTTCTTTATTAATACGTAGATCACGGCTCTTTATCTCTAGGGGCAGTGTTTATTAGTTCGTTTTGAAGTTAAGCACAAAGCTACACAATGGGCTGTCTGTGCTCTGCCCACCAAGGGCATC